TTTGAAATGGAGCACATAGGGTAATTATTTTTGATATTGATATTTGTATTTGATATTTATTTCAAACATGTTGAAAAAAGATATGGACACACAACCAAGCGGACAGACAGAGTGAACATTATATTTACAAATAATAAAAGCATAATGTAAAAGCAGTTGTCAATGTAAAGTTTCTTTGATCCAAAATGGAGTGGGAGGAAGTATTAACGTATTAAATCCCACCCCTTCTCCATAAGTCATTAAGTGAAAAGAAAAAGACAACTTCCTCATATAGATAAACCTTAGACCATTCTAAATATACAACAGTTAACTTTATAACACAAAATAACCCACATAAATATAAATTATTAATTACTAAATGTAATGTATGGTATTATAATATAATATAATATATTTTTTGCTATTATTATTATTATTATATTATGTTATATTTTTATTTATATTATATATATAATATAATATCATATAATATAAATTACCAATTATCCTTGCCTTACAAAAAATCTAAATAAATATTAACATTACATACAAATCTTAATCAACTTGTTCTGTTATCTTTTTTATATTATGATAAATTAATACATAATATATACAAAATATTAATAAACGTAATTCCTCCAGTATATACCGGTACATGTTCACCCACATACCCATAAATGACTAACTTATTACTTACTTATTTACATATCAATACACTGTTATTAATGTCACAGAAGTAGAGACAGTAAGCAGAAGGCAGCTCCTGAATGTCATGTCTTTACATCTTAATTTAAATTGGTGGATGTTTGGACATTGTTTAAGCTCCACTTTCAAGCTGTTCTTTAACTTCACTCCTCATATGGAAATACAGAACTTTTAATTTTAATATCCATTAAGTTTTTTTGGCACGCAGCAGGAAATGTAGTTATGAAAAAGGAGGCAGCTGTTTGTGTATACAGATCCAGACTATGCAAATACTCCAATAGCTGGTTTCATTCACTGACACATCTACACCAAGCAGCCACCTTCACCTGCTGTCTTCTTCTTTGTAATTATCACATGTGTCCTCTAGAGGGCAGTGTTGGCCAAATGAAGCCAGAGAAACACCTTTTTTTTTTTTTTAAGGTAATTTTCACCCCCTTATACAAAAACTTTCTCATAAGAAAGAAAAGAGAGGAGACATAGATTTGCTTCTTAATCAAATCTATAAATCAACTTCTCTGTAAAAGCCAGATACTCACTGCTGTTTTCTTTTGTGTGTTTTCATGACAAGTTGGCTGGATTACTGCAATAAACTCCCCAAAACTGATATAATCAGTTACAGCTTTTACCCCAGAACCAGTGCTGCTGTCTGGGTTTTAACTGGAACAAAGTATCTGCACTAACTTTCACTTTGGGGACAGGAACATTCAAAATAAGATCTCTTCTTCTTCCAGTCTGTTTCTCCTAGACATAACTGAGCTCAATATAACAACAACAATATGGGATTTTGACCAGTTTCCCATACTTCTTAAATTAGACTCCAGAGAAATAGCCTTCTTGTCTCTGCCTGATCATAATTTAAGATCTTAAAATGGTTTTTTTTCCCCTCTGTCACTGCTCATCTTTATTTGACTGAAATAGTCAGCTCTTGGGACAACAGTAAGACCCAAAAGAAAACTTGATTGACTCATAAATGAATCTGCACAATTTCTCTCAGTGATCACATTCATGTCTCAACTATCTGAGTTGAGAAACCTCTGATATGAACACTCGTGCTGATTTATTCCTTTGCTACTTATTTCTGGTGGGGGAGGGAGGGTTAGGAGAAACAGATCAGAATTTAGTATCTCCATCTAAGAAGCTGATTAATGTCTGATAAGACAAAGAAAAGACTTTTGTGAGCAGGGAAATTTTCCTCTGGGTCGACCCTAGCCTAAAGGACCGTTCTTTGCTTATCAGATCAGAGGAGGGGGTGGCTGGAGTGTAAGGTTATTTTCTTTTATTAGATGAGTATGAAGTTTGTAAAAAATAAAGTAAACACATTAAAATACAATAAAATAGAAATTAAGATTATCGATAAGATAAAAATAAGAAATATGCACAGTATGGATATTATAAGTGATGGCCAAATGAAGCCTCATGAAGCATTTTCTTTATTTTCTGAGCCCACTAGATGGCGCTCATGGTTTAAAGAGAGAGGCTCAAAGAATGGCAATTCAGTGTGCTTTCAGCCTTTTGTTGAACAAAAAGCGCCATCTAGTGGGCTCAGAAAATAAAGAAAATTCTTAATGAAGCTTCATTTGGCCATCACTACCTCCACCCCCACCTGCCCCACTCAGACTTTTGCTGCCTTAAAGGATAACTTCAGTGTTTTTCAACCTGGGCCCTATTTCCCCATGTGTATGTGTGCGTATGATTCATAGGTACAACTCGTTCTAAAAGTGGTTCAGTATTGAGGGAGGCGGATGCAGCTGGGAGCTGCGAAATGAGCTAAAACGGTAACAGGAGCAAATGCGTCCCGTATAAGTTTGCGCATTAAAAGTGCTTTTTTTCGCCACTTACCGGTTCAGATCACCAGTGTTATCTCTGTAAATAACATAGTAAATGTTTCCCTTTGCTTGTTGCTGGAAGAAAACAGAGGAGCCATGCTGAGCGCCGCTCAGAGCGGAGCTGGTTGTCCCAGAGTACAGCTGAGAGTTTTACTGCATCAATTGAAAACAATGGTTCGTGTTTGTGCTTATCCGAATTGCAAGAACAGGATGTTGTGCAACACCCCGTACAGCTTTCATAGGCTGCCTTTGTCGAACGGCGAGATGCTGAAGTTGTGGCTAGTTGTGCTACAAATGGATGCTAACACTCCTGTCCAGACACTGCGCCTTGCAGACCATCAGGTCTGCAGTGCTCACTTCTCCCAAGATGACTACTGCCAGCCGAAGAAGACATCCAATCCCGAAACACCTCTTCCTCAAGAAAACAGCTGTCCCACGAGTAGAGAGAGCTACAGACACAGTGGAGCAAAGCTCTCGCAAGATGACGTCACACACAGCCCAGAGGTAAGGGAAACGTTTACTATGCTATTTACAGAGATAGCACTGGCGATCTGAACCGGTCAGTAATGAAAAAAAGCACTTTTAATGCACAAACTTATGCGGGACGCATTTGCCCCCGTTACCGTTTTAGCTCGTTTCACAGCTCCCGGCTGCATCCGCCTCCCTCAATACTGAACCAATTTTAGAACGAGTTGTACCCATGAATCATACGCACACATACACATGGGGAAATAGGGCCCAGGTTGAAAAATACCGAAGTTATCCTTTAAGTTTCATTGTTGTCCTGCTGTGTTTCCCCTTGATGCCGCTAGGTTCCGTGACCAGCTCAGACAATAAAGAAAATGCTTCATGAGGCTTCATTTGGCCATCACTAGACATTATATGTTAGATATTTACATTCAAGAGTTGTTGGTAAGAATTGACTAGTAAACTGAGTTTTATGTATAAAGCCCAATATCACAAATCACAATTTGCCTCACAGGGCTTTACAGCATACAACATCCCTCTGTCCTTAGGACCCTCACAGCGGATAAGGAAAAACTCCCCAAAAAAACCTTTGACGAGGAAAAAAATGGTAGAAAGCTCAGGAAGAGCAACTGAGGAGGGATCCCTCTTCCAGGACGGACAGACGTGCAATAGATGTCGTACAGAACAGATCAACATGATAAATGCAGAGTGATCCATATGACAAAAGCTACAGTAACATTTATTTTTAGTAATAATAATGATTATAATAATAATAATAATAATAATAATAACAGCATTTTGGTAGTATATATGTGTTTATACTAATATATGATATTATGTGTATGTGACAATAATAATCATATGAGTGTAATAATAGCAGAGGTATGACTTATAATAATAGCTGTAGTAGAAGAATATTGCACAGTTGAATTATTGCACCAGTTATTGCACAGTTAAGGCAGTGTTGCAAGGAATAATTGCACGTTCAAGTCACTATAAAACCGTTTAAATATAATAGATAATTATGAATGACTTCCTGTGGCGCTCTGTGCTGCATCATGGGGGAGGAATCAATCAATCGGGGAGGCTCAAGGACAAGTATTTGTAGGTTCCAGGAGGGTCAATAGTCAGTCGATCTAACTCAAAAATGGGCCCAACCTCGGTACTTTTTGTTGGTCCTAATACCCTCCTGCATCATTTATTAAAAGCATACCATCATGGATTTAGTGGAATATTCTTTTTTCAATGTCAAAGGCAACGTTTCAACAATTTACCGTTACATGGTCTGGGTGAAATGATTTCCTCCAGGTGCTCTAGCTTCCTCCCACAGTCCAAAGACATGCAGGTTAATTGGTGACTCTAAATTGTCAGTAGGTGTGAATGTGAGTGTGAATGGTTGTCTGTCTCTATGTGTCAGCCCTGTGATAGTCTGGTGACCTGTCCAGGGTGTACCCTGCCTCTCACCCAGTGTCAGCTGGGATAGACTCCAGCCCAAGCGCAACCCCGAACAGGATAAGCAGTTACAGAAATTAATGTTTGGATTCAAAGAAAAGTCATTTTGGGGGTAAGGGTACTGCCTCACTGCACATACACATGCAGAACAAGTCATATCTGATGGTTATACGTTAAAGAGCATCCTAAAAACTGATGATAGACATAACTTATATGGAAATATCATGTTCAGAAGCAGAGTTGTGCACTTCTTTGTGTGATGCTGTGATGCAAGGGCCCCACATTTTGAGCCTTGAAAATACCTTGATCAACTAAATATATATCGGTATACTTTCAATGTTATTTGAATGTCCCACGAGATTAAAAAAAGCCTTTAATGAATGATGTTGCAATTTGACCCGAGCCATCCCTCCTCCTCCTCCTCCTCCTCCTCCTCTGATAAGTAAAGTACAGTCCCTTATGCAGGCTAAATTACAGCAGTTCCACTAACAGCCGCGCGGTGGCAGTAATGTGCCCTCTGTCCACAGCTACTCTGCCGGAAATAAGGAGTAGAAGAAGAAGGTACCGTAGGAAAAAGCTACAGTAGTATCGTCGCGTCAGATGATTAGCTAATAGTAAAAACACTGTAAAACGACTGACAGTTCGCCTCTCTTTTCAGCATTACGAACCGGTGGAAGTTGTCAGTAATGTATTTTGGTCCGTCATTCACACTTTGAAGCCTCTCTCGCAGCGCTGATAATGCTGAAAATGAAGCTACCGATGAAAACGGGCGAGGAAGGAGGCGACGAAACGGCCGAGGACGACTCATTGGATCAGCCGGAGCACCAACATATTCCCAGGGCGGCACCTCCTTCCTCGGTGTCCGACGGACTGGATCAGTCGCCCAGACCCGGTGTGTGTCCATCCCAGCTGAACAAGGAGACTGTCTTCGAATGGTTTGGCCTACATCTAAACCCCGCTAAGCGGATCGAGTTCATGTGCGGACTGCTACATATGTGCCAAGCACTGGAGCTCCGCTTTTTGGGATCTTACTTGGAGGATCTTACAAGGAAAGATTACCATGTTTTAAGAGACTTCGAGTTCCGGGCGAATAGTCCGAGCGAATTGGGGCTTTTAACGGACGTGATTGATCCGGTTGTGAGGTCTAAACTCCTGGTCTGCCTGTCCCTCCTCGGGTCTGACAGCAGGGAATGTGCTGGAATACTCTTTCGGATACTGAGCCATGTAGACCCGGCCATGTTCTACAAAAACTATGACTACTCCCTTCATCCATTCAGGGACCCTCACCACCACTCGTTTCACCCGCCGTGTCAGGACGGGAGTGTGTACGGGCGGTCGGAGCAGACCTGCGGCTCGTCGGCTAACGAGCCAGCGGCAGGACCTCTGGAGCAGTTGGCGCTGCTCTTTACCATGGCCTCTCTGCACCCAGCTCTCCATTTCCACCAGCGGGAGATGGTCCGAGGGCAGCTTGACAAAATAGAGCTTGCCATGGAGGAGGAGAGACGTCAGAATCAGCTCAGAATAAACGCCCAGATAACGGTAATGAGCAGCAGCGTTACTATCGTTTCCACTGAATGCCAGGCTAGCTCAAAACTTGTGTGCTTCAGGAGGGAGCTCACGTCTGTAGCATAGCTGGCTAAAGTTACAACTTCATTAAATGTAACGTTACATTTACAGCTAATTACTGTGAGATATGAATGTTACATTACACATTGGACAAGTGTGCTAAGTACTTTAGCAGGAAACCTCCCCTTCTTAGCATTAGCTGCCGTCCATGGCAGTGTAGCTAATGCTAACAGAGTTAGCTAGCATCTAGAAGCTAATCGGTTAACCTGCTATAGCTGAAGTTCGGCAGGTGGTTTTAACCAGCTACACACGCCATTTTTAAATGTTTGGGATATTTTTATAACACTGTTGCTTTGCTCCCATTGTACACTAACTTATTTGGCGGTGCTGCGGATCTGTACAGGCTGCCGTCAACTTTCTAAACGCTCTGCACGATGAAAGTCATTAACGAGCTTACTGGATGCTAATGCCCCTGTCAAAGCTACATCCAAGCTAATGCCAAGAGCTGCTGTGGTAGTCTTATTATCCAGCAGACTGTCTGTCCCAGCTGGTGGCTGCTGTAACTGCTGCAGCAGGAGTTTGATAAAGTACACATTCACTTGTGGCTTTTAACTATGTGGGGCATGACTCTGGTGCATGCAGGTTTGCACTACAACCAAACAACAGCTGCTGATTTTATGTCCTCCTTTGTGGCAGAGGTTTTGATCATAAAGTACATTATGTCATGTGTTGGTAGGTACACTGGAGTGAAGTTTTGCACCCATTAGAGACTTGTAAGTTTGTTTGAAAGGTAATAAACTGCCAAGGTTATCAGCTATACTAATAATGGCTTAAAGGGACAGGTCACTTTTTTAAAAGTGAGGTTGTATGGGATATGTCTCCATAGCTAGTTTAGTATTTAAAGCAGATGTATGCCAGCATGCCCCCAGTTTGGAGAAGCAGGCTGGAATCTAGCACAGAAGCTAAGCAATGTACTGCTGTGGATGGGGGCCAGCAACAAAACATATTTTAGCGACCTCTAAAAGTCCCACCCAAAAGAATCAATAACAATTTAAGTTTACGCTATATTTAGAATATTTTCACTGCTTTAGCTTTCCGTCAGACAGCCCATTTCGACGGTTCAGCTCCCCATCTCTGCCGTTGTCAAATCAACCAGACTCCACTGACAAAAACAGTCATTTAAGCTTGCTGAACATGTGAGCTGCTGGTCTGCCGCTACCCCGATCAGTTAATTTATTTGTGTTAATGTGTGACTTTGGTGATTCTGAACTAACCCGTTTGAACGCTGAAGTCACACAATTACACAAACAAAATATCTGAGTGAGGCAGTGATAGACCAACAGCTCCTGTGTTGAAGCAGTGCTAAATCACTGTTTTTCTCAATGGAGTCTGGCTTTAAATTGAGTGATATAATGGCTTTATTTTTCCGCCGGAAATCACTGTCTGACAGCAAGGGAAAGTGGTGAAAATATTCTAAATATAGTGTACACTTAAACTAATATTGATTTTGTAATGTATGTAATATGCTGTCAGTGGATAACCCCACTTAAAAAAAAGTATGAACTATCCCTTCAAAGCTGTTGCCTTCTTTTCACACAGCTGTTTCTCATTTCATCCCTTAAAAGGACAGTTCACTTAAAAATTTAAAATACATATTTTTCTCCTCTTACCTGTATTGCTGTTCATCAGTGTATATCACTGGTTACTTACCAACCTGGGGGTCCTGAACCCCGCTATAGGTCGCCAAGGTTTCTCAGGGCGGTCATGAGGCCTTTTCGATTTTTGTAAGAGAACTTTTTTGAAAATATACAGTCGGCCTTTATCTCAGCATTTCATTCTGTCCTGTAAGGAAAATGAAGTTGTTATTTCTAAAGATAAGATTATTATTCAAGATATTAACTTAAAAAAAAACCCTCATAGCATAAGGGAATGGTGCCGGAAATAACTTGAGCACAAGCTATATTGACACTTCACTGTCTGCCAAACAGCGTAGTCCTGCAGTTAAAAAAACCAGAGAGCTAATAGAATAATGGCCAAGCGTCAGGGAAAAGAAGACACTGAGTTTGTTCATAAAAGTAGCTTATTAAGTGTGTGTGATTGTCGAAAATTAAAATAATATTGAATACAGCCTGAGAGACATCTAAGAAGTTACTTAAAACATTAGGAAAACTCATCTCTGATGCAACGTTCAGAGGAAATAATTTGCTCAAAATTCATTCACATAGCTTGTTTTACGCAAACCTCCAACACTTATTGTGTTCGCTGTTTGGGTTGCATTTTATCAGTTGTTCTGTACTGTTGTTGTTCTGCACTGAATAGAATATAAATTGTCATATGTCACTTAACTAATTAATTGAAAAGGAATCCCTTTGAGGAAAAAAGGTTGGGAACCACGAGTTCCACCTATTTCCTCTGCTCAGGTTGGGGTTATTAAGCAGTGGAAAGAACTGTCATAGTTTTTGCTTAGACTCAAGCCTTCCAGTCTCTTTAAACATGGAGTTAAATCTTAAACACAAAGTAACTGCGCTGTATGTCCATGAGGCAAGGATGGATTATTGACTGAGCCAGCGGGGCCTCTTACCACAGAGGAGCCCAGGGTTTCTCCCTTACAGTTATTTAACAAAGGTGATCGGAGTTTTCTGTCGACTGACTGATTGTTTCGGCATTTATGAAATGTACGTCCACTCGTAAATGGAAAAATCACTTACCTAATCTGAAGTCATGTTAGGAATGCAAAGCTGTTACGCAGCAGACTCTCAAGTGTCAGACTCCTACCAGCACATGAAAAAAAATCTCACACTTCAGGGTCAGACGCTGAAAATGAACCTTAACTTTTGTGAGGGTCTTTCCACGTTATGGTGGTTTACATTAAGGATGCTTTAAATCTTTGAAACCTGAGCAAATTGGCTTGGTTTCTGTCAGAAACATGGGAAGACGGCAATGAGCAATGAAAGAAGAAATGACCCAAAAATAATTAGCAAGAAATTACTAAAACGAGAAAATTAAAAACATGAAAATTAGTGGAAAAAAGAAAGGAAAAAATTAATAATAATAAAAAAGGAAATGTCCTGGAAAAAAAACTTTAAAATTAAAATAATTCTGTAAAATAATTTTAAATATATAGTAATTTTAAATGTATTTTTTTCCCCTCGCTTTTTAAAAATAATTTTCTAAATCTATTAATTTTTTTGCAATTTTTGGAACATTTCTCACCAAGTTTCTCATTCCCTTTTTTCTCATGTTTTTGAATGAAACTACACCAATTTGCTCGGGGTTCATAGCATTGAATACTCCGAAAGTCGTCTGAAAGCAGCACAAGAAAAGTAATGTCGCTACATGTGTCAAAGGTTTAATCAATTGAGCAGTGATTGGAAATTAAGTAGTTGATTGCAAAATAGGTGATGATTAAAATTAGTTAAATGAACTAAAAAATATCAGAGACTTTTCCCTCCTTCGTTTAATGAAGACTTATGACAGTACCTTCAAATACACATCGGCTTGGTTCAACACTGCCTGTATCTGTTTTAGATGAATCCACGAGGTTGACATCATAGTGAGTCAGGGCCTGGCCTGGTGAAGATGCACTGCTCTTAATGAAATCACACATGCCATTTTTAGATGCTGTGCTGTATCTGCTGACTGTTGGGCTGTCAAACGTGGTAAAAGACAGAGGGAGAGAGGGACAGTGAATGAGAGGACGGTTGGTTCCTGGTGTTTCCTTGTGTTTCAGAATCCCTCTTTCATCCCTTTTGATTGTTTACGTGGATGGTGTAGCTCGGCAGTTTTGCCCAAAAATGCTGATTCAGCAGTCACACTACGTTTTTTGTATTTTCTATTACTTGTGCAAACTTTCAGCTGCAGAAACCATTCAGATGTCATTAAGTTAGGCTCAGACATTGATGCTTGTATCAACATTTTTCATACATTTTCTGCTTTTTGAAGTACAAAGCATTTTCTCCTTTCACCCCTTTCAGTTAATAGATTTTAACGTCTCCCTTTGACAGCATTATAGTTTCAGCTCTTAGCTTCTGTAGGTAATACAATTCAGCTTCCAACTCTGCCGGTTTTATGTTTCAACCTTCAGGTTTTGCAGCATTTCACTACAATGTATTTTGACTTCTACATATTTTCGGGCGTTCATTTCACATTTCTGCATTTCAGTGATGCTTGGAGATTAATTTTAGCTGTCAGCATTCACGCAATTTCTGCAGGAAGGGTGTTTTCTAGTTCCTTTGTTTACATATTACGTTTGCTGTTAACTGCTCTGGGCTGTTGAACATCTAAAGTGGCTTTGTGTGAATATTATTGTGCAGATTGTGATTCATTAGAGATTAATATGTTTACTTTGGGTTATTTAATCCTGGTTCCTGTGTATGCCAGAACTAAATGCTATTATAGTTTTGGAAAGCTGATGAATATACCAGAAGGTACTGAATGATCCAACTTTGCACTGTGCTCAAACATTAGCACGTAGCATTATACTTTTGTTATTGAAACAGCGAGTAATTCAACTTAAACATGATATCATGGTCACTGCTGGTTTGATTCTACAAAACATAGAAGGATGATGCATTTTTGCAGTGTGTTTTACTATAGTTAAATATGAAACCTGTGAAACACAGTGGAGTCATGCTGTAATTAAAGGTAAAAATTGTAATAAGTAATTAACTGAGTGTGTTTTTGGTCCCCAGGAGCTGACGGGTCAGAAGGCAGATTACCTGCTTTCCCCGCCGCTGGGTTTGGGGGAGTGTACGGCCCCTCATCCTCCATGTCAGAGCCGCCGCTCCAGCCGCTGGGCAACACAAAGAGAAGGTGAATGGGAACATATTATACACATATTGTACATGATAATTAATTACTTTTTAATAAGCTGCAGCTCAACAGAAACTATCCAGCAGTTTGATTTCCTCTGTCAAAGCCGTGTTAGAATAAACACAGTGAAGGGGACGCATAGCTGCCAAACGAACAGGCTTCCTCCATAAAGCAGAAACATTTATTATTATAGCTAGAAATCTTTTATGCTTCTTTATGTTGTGACATACACAGTAGAGCCCCCTCATGTTTTCAGTTTTTCTTTAATAACTCTCAAACTGTCTGGACACATAGAAAGTACCAACTGATTCCCAGTAAGTGCTGTCATAACTCAGATGAATGTATAGGCTTGTTGTGTTTGTGAAGTCGATATTTGCTCAGTCCTAATGGCTGCATCACTCTTCTTCTGCCGAACTTGTCGGAGCGACTGAGTCATAATTGTTTATTCCTGCTCTCTGTTGTTGCAGCAGTGCATATAGAGGGCATCGTGCTCAGGGGCATCTCTCGGACCAGAATAGACAAGGAATACAACTTTGAGGTCGGTAACAACACAGCACACACACACACACACACACACACACACACACACACACACACACACACACCTCTGGTTCAGGTTAATATGACAACTGGAAGTGTTCTTTTAGCGTAATACTGTGTTTGTGCATGTAATCTTAAAGGGACATCACTTTTCTTTGTCATTTATGACAGTAAATGAAGAGTCTTTGGGTTGTGGACTGTTGGTTGGACAAAAGAAGCCATTTTTTACATTTTAAAATGAATTTGTCAACCAGGAAAATAAGCTGCAGATTCATCAATAATGAAATAATCATTAGTTTCAGCCCTGCTTTCTCCCAAACTACACCCACTGATCTTATCACCATGCAGAAGGACTGTAAACACTCAATCTTGATTAGTGTTGTTATGTCTGGCGTTTTTTTTAGTGCACCTGCGGGACATCACATAAGTCAAACACACACACACTGACTTCCTTTCCGCTCTGCTGCCACGCACTTTCCTGCATGTGTGCTCTCAGCTTTTGGAGGGTGGCCAATTCTCTGCATTTGAAATATGCTACACACAGCTTGCTTGACGGTGGAGTGTAACAGTAATAGCTGGGTGATAAGCCAATAAAATAAACTTTCACATCAGTGGCTTTTTAATATGGCAACCTGGCACGGGGACACACAGAGACAGTTGTATTTCCACTCGGGCTGGGCGACATAACAACTATGTATGATATATCGATATATTTTCAAGTAAGATATAAATTTAGACAACACCGTTTATATCGTTTATATATGCTGTTAGACTGAAAAGCCATACCAGTGTGAATCTCTCCTCTCTCACTCTCTCCGCACAACACCACCTCACACACTCACAAGTTCTCCAGCAACACTCAGAGAGACGCAGAGCTGCTCCTCTGTTTAATCTGTCTGTTAATTAGTGTACAGTGTGTCATCGACCTATATGTTGTATGTGCTACGCTAAAGAAGTCTGTGAGGTGAATGAAATGACCGCAGTAGCACGTGTAATCCAGCGCTGTGCTGCATGTGTGGGAGACAGAGCTGCCTGATTTGTTTGCTAGTTGGTGTGTGAGGTGGATCACGGCGCATCACCAACAAAGTATCTCCCGCTCCTTCCCTCCCTCGGCATCTCTGTTGATGTTATGTGCATGAATAAGATTAATAGCCTAAATAACATAATAATAATAATAATTAATCATTTCCCAGCACTAGATTAATTTAAAAGGCCATGGAAAGCAACTTTTTAACTCCCCCACAAAGATTTTCTATTGCTTAAACTACAATGGATTTAGGCCTACGTGATACTTTTATACAAGGTTTTCCCTACCTATCTAAAGGCCCGTTTCCACTGAAGAAGTTCCTGGTACTATTTGGGGGGCAGGAACTTTACAGGAACGTCCTCTCGCTCGGCCCTCTCAACCGCCATGTCTCCACTGTACGATGGAGTAGGAGGAAGGTTCCTGTAAAGTTACCGGGCTCTGGATGTGACGTAATCGTTGTGCGGCCATTTTAACCGGGGCGACGCGGCAAAGAAACAAACAAACAAGAACAACAACAAAGAAGAAGAAGCAGAAGTAAGAAGAAGAAAGCAGACATAAGAAAGACGATAATCAACATGGAAGGGGCTGAGGTGGTTGCTGGGTTTCTGGCGTGTCTCTTTGTTACATGGCGGTGGAAGCTATGAACGAGCTAACCCTCGACTGCTGAGTTTTAAAAATGCTGGCTATTTTGTTGCTTTCTGTTGACGTCACATCCCGCCTTGAGTATATCCAATCAGCACCAAGTAAACCCCAAGCCCCAGCCAGGAGTTTTTCAGGGCCGCTCTCACTACCTACTCCGAGGCAGGGACTTGTATAGCCCCTGTAAAAGATCAAGAACTCTGTCCTTCGGGGGTGGTTCCTGCGGTGGAGACACGCACCAACGGCCCCGGCCCCATAAAATTACCCCGAAGTTCCTGCGGTGGAAACGGGCCTTAAGACAAAGGAGGGCCACCTGGGTGATTTTGGCCGCCGCGTTGCTTAAAGTGTGTATGTGTGCATCCAGGGCGTTCAGATGTAGCGTCTTTTGCACGCACAAACCCATTACTTTTAATGTAGACACTCGTCATGCGCGCTCACAACCCAAAGCCATGCTGTAGCAGCACGCATTCGGTGCGACGCCCTTGTTTTTTCGTCCGGCGCACACCTCCACAGACCTGCTTCTCCCTCTGGTGTTGTGTCAGATCCTTGTTCCCCCTCGGACTGTGTCTCTCCTACTGTTTCCCACGGAGCTCTGCGAAAGGCGAGGGAAGCCCGTATGTGGAAAGACGTCGCCTCCGAGATGTAGAATGTGTATTATAGAAGAGGAACACTGACTTGTATCATCAGAATAGACCTCAGCCTCCTTTCATATTTAATAGAGGGGGGACAATACCTGACAGTAATATTCTCAGCTGTCAGGATGTGCCTGCTGTAAAGGCTGAAAATCACAGGACATGTCTGTTCTGATGATACAAGTCAGCAGTGTAAAGCTCAAGCATGTGGGGGCCTCCTTTCATATTTAATAGAGGGGGGACCGTATCTAAAAGTAGAGCTGTCAAGATGCCCCCCGCCACAGGCCTTTGCCACCTTGGTCTCGAAAAAACCCAGGGAACCCTGTCATACCCATGTTATAGTTAAGTGTCCTGTGCTCAAACCTTTAAACCTCTGTAGCTCCAGTGCTGTGTGCAAAACATTAACGTACAGCCCTGCTATTTATTTGATATCATTTTTCATTAACATTTTGCGCAGCTGCATATTTTCAAACAGGGAATGAAAAGATCCCTGTCTTTGCACTTTATTTTAATCACGTTTTGTGACATGTGAAATGTGGCTTTGACTTACAAATGAACATGCAGCCCAAAAAATACTGAGATGTATACATCATGTATCGCCATGTATCGTCAATCATGTCGCCCAGCCTTTATTACCACATAATTAAACATATTCAGACCTGCGCTGGTCGACTATAAACATGAAGACCCTTCGTAATAACAGACACACGCACACACAGATGGACAGTCCCATACTGACTCCTGCTCCTTATAAAATTGGTGGTATTGGTTAGTTGTTATGCTTTCCCCTCGTTGAATCACTATTAGATCAAAATACATCATAAATCATCCATATTCATCAGCTAACAGCCATCATATGCTAGTTTGGTCATGAAGTGGCTTTCTGAAAGGTGTCAGCTACTCTTGTTTTCTGGCATCACTTTCTCCCTGTGGTGCATTGTGCTGGTTACACCAGAGCCAGCCTGGGAGTAAGTTTTTTTGTCTCCAACATGGTGACATCTTTTGGAAAGGTCAAGCAGGATTTGAACAGGGCTGCTGCTCTGTATGTTGTGGCAGCCAAATTTTCCTTGACCATGCAGAAAAAATGCTGGTTCTGCATGTGTCTGTATTTTTAAAGGCGCAACTGTGAGTCTGTGTTGGGGCAAATTTTCTTTTTTATTTTTGCCGTAAATGTCCATCGCACTAAACTAATCCCAGGGGCCAGTTTCATAGTGAGGCAGCTCATCACTGCTAACGAGCTGGTCTCTTTCAGAATGATTGATTTCCAAACACGGATTCACAGTAACAAATAGGAGTATTTAGTGCTCAATTACAGGAAGCAAAAATCAGTAAGACAGATGGTGAGGAGAGAAGGTCCTGTTGGCTTGACTGAGCTCCGACAGCCAAGCCAACAGCACTCACAACAGTGAGCCGTTCTCACTATCCATCTGTTTTTACTGGAACAAACCACTGATGCACACACACACATACACACGCACACATAGTAACACATGTATTCATACTACAGTCATTAGCTTAACAAGCATGTGTCGTTTCAGAACGTAGTATAATCTGTGTACTTGATCTATAGATATAAATGCTGTTTATTAAAGATTCTTGCAGCCAAATGAGGCTACTGGTTCCACTGGGAGGGAGTAAATGGCTATTTGTGGTCTCTCTGTTCCCATTAAGTACATGAATGGCTCCAAAGTGTTGTGTTTCCTGCTGCTCCGTTTTGAAAAAGGCTCACACTGCTGTAGGGATGTTCAGGTCAGGCTTTTTGGAACCAGTACTGATCACCAGCTTGATTTAAGTGGAACAGGCCAATCTGGCACTGACTGTTTCCTGTTCTTCAACATTCACACTTCTGTAAGACAGTCAGTACATTTACACGCACAGTTAAGTCGAGCTACAGTTACAGCTCGACTAGACCATTTAATTGGACTACTGTCCTTGTTCCAGTATACAAGCACCGGAGGGGAGTCGATTTATTGATTGATTATTGGTGATATGCCCCCTTTCAGCTTGTTAGTATTGGACCTTTTCCAATTTCCTGTTATGTCACAGACCAAACAGTTGACAAACAAGTTAGCTACGGTTAGCTAGCAGCTAGTCTCTATATACAGACTCTACATTCAGTGAATGTAGAGTCTGTAGGCAAACCCCGGAGATCTTGCCTCCGGGAGAAGAGCAGAAGAGCCCTGGTTTCCGGTTGTAGGCTGTTTGTAGTCTGCGTGATATTGACCAATCAAGTTTGAGCCTGCTGCAGTTGTTGCCAGGTTGAACGGTCAGTATGGTGAACTAACGAGGCGGAACATAATTGGCGTCACAGCAAACTCTGAATCCATCGCAATGGTTCAGCATATTTATAAACGGAAGTCGGAAACGGAAATTCACCTCCTCCGCCCATATCAATCTGGAATGCCAAAAAATTGGGGGTCTGCCCCCAGAGGCTGTATTGCCGTCTGCCGGAAGTCAGACGCCGAATACTGCCGATGGGTTCCGAGAATGGCTAGCAGTAGTGATGGCCAAATGAAGCCTCATGAAGCATTTTCTTTATTTTCTAAGCCCACTTGATGGCGCTCATGATTTAAAGAGAGAGTCTCAAAGAATGGCAGTTCAGTGTGCTTTCAGCCCTTTGTTGAACAAAAAGCGCCATCTAGTGGGCTCAGAAAATAAAGAAAATGCTTCATGAGGCTTCATTTGGCCATCACTAGCTAGCAGCTAACTGGTACCATGGTGGACAATGTTATAACTCTGTTCATTTCGTCTGTCCAGAAATGCACAGCTCTGGATGTAGATTTCGCCATGTTGTTACCGGCTTCTTCTTCTGTTACGCATTTGATGCTATTTGACTTCCAGGTCAAATCCCTGGGCGTAAACTGTGGAGCATACTCAGAGCGCCTTGGCTAGTTTGGGTCCAATTACATGCAGGAGTAATTCGACTACCAATCCCATCAGGAAGCTGAGGAGCTTCAGTGTTAGCTAGCACATACTTGAAATAGCATACAGAAGCAGCATGGTATGGCAACCTGAGTGCAAGGAGCAAAACCAAGCTCTCCTACATTGTCAACATTGCTGGGAAGGTGATTGGCAAGTCACAGAAACAACTCAGCAATAGATTTGACAATACTGTACGTAGGAAGGCTAAGCATGTAATTGCCGATGCCTCACATCCATTACACTCACAGCTTGAGCTGCTCCCGTGTGGGAGTCGATTTAGGGTCCCTAGAGCCAGTGAGAACATATATAAGAAGTCCTTTATTCCCTATGCCATACAGGGAATGAACACATTGCCATTTATTTACCACATTACCATTACAGTAAGACATTTTTACATGTATTTTAAAAGTCCGGTTTTAGTCGGAATCCATTTCTTCAAACGTCATGTAACCGTACTGGCTGTAAAAGCTACACTTTGTCCGTGTGTTACGCATATTTTCCCACTTGCAAATGAAAATTGATATTTTCCTCTACGGTCTACATCTAATTACTTAGTAATGTACAGTTTTCCTGGGAACACTGATTCACCAGTGTCTGCCAACAGACCATCTTAAACCAGTGATCATGGTTTCCTTTATAATTGAGCCCCACAGTACAGACTTAGGTCTGTAGTCTTGGTTTAATACCATACTATACCAAATTCCAAATACCAAATTTGCACCAGCTGTGGTCGGGTGGTCATTAAAGTCAGTTGAAATGCCTGACCCACATTAAAATGGGCAAAACCAGACCAGTTCCCATCAGATACAGTGTGTTTACTGAAGCCTAACTAAGCATAGCTTTGCTATAAATACAGCCTGCATCATCTCACTTGTGATAGTCTTTATAAATTCATCTGGTGTGATGCATCCCCACAGATAGTTCTCACATACTGAGTCATTGTGATGGTATTTTTGTGATACAGCATTGAATAAGATGCTGTGTAGTCGTGTGTGTTTTGTTTTAAGACCAAAATAGAAATTGGTTAATAAGTATGAGCGTTTCTGTTAAGTACAAGTTTTATAGTCTCAACCATTACATAACCACAGCACATGTTGCCTCTCAATGGGTGTAGCTAATGCCACATCTACATGATTATAGAGTGTGATTAGAAGGCATCCATGTTTGTTTAGACGTCAAGGGTGTGGAGCCGGCCTGCTCTGACTTATTTCTTTTTCCGTAGCACTTAGTATGCTTTGTCGGAGTTACTGTATGAATGTGGAGTCATTTTCGTGTTGTGTGGGTGTTCGTTGTCTTATGTTTCTGCAGTGTTGGGCAAGCTACTTAATAGTTACTTTACATCAACATAAAGTTTCACTTCATTGAAGCTATCTTCAGAGATTTTGATGATCAGAGAAACTGTCAGACAAACAGGCAGCAAAATATGTTCAGTTTAACTGTTTATTATAAAATAAGACTTCAATCAAAACTTTCTTCAGTTTTTTCGTGTTTTTTTTTTTTTTTTGAAGACTTTGCGACATTTGAACATGTCCTCCAATAACATGACATCATCAGTCGACCTGTTGCCCCCTCTGTTTCTCTCTCCTCTTCCATGCATTTCTCTTTCTCGGCCTGTTTCAGTCGGCTCTCTGGCTCGGTCCGTAATTCAAAAACAGAATTCCAAAATATATTTTTCAGTCAGTAAAACCATAATAAATAAAAGACAGTAATATAAACAATAACAATAACAGACCTAAATGAAGACTTGTCTTTTTTGGGGACATTAGAGCATGAACATGTCCTGCAGATAACCCGTGACATCAGTATGTCTCCGTCTCTACTGTCCTCTGTCTCTCAGCTATTTTCTCAGCCCTTTGTGTTGGTTTCTCTGGTGTCCACTGCAAATTCACTAAATATATACAGTCTATGGTCAGGACACATGAGTGCAGTGTAGCCAATCAGAGGCAGAGTAGGGCGGGTCTTGCCAAGACAAGACAATAGCGAAGCAGCAAGCAGAATAAACTGAAGGATTAGTGCATGATGTCATACAGGAAGTGCTTCCCTTGTCTACAGTCAATCAGTATGATGTAATTGTTTGGGTATGTGATTTTACTTTCTTGGGTGACATTGTACCATGAACTGCTAGCAAAGCACCATTTCCTTTTTGGCGTTGCTGTTGTCAGATTTCTCCCTGTAGTCAGCGTAGTGATGGAGCATGTCCTCTGCTGTGTTTCAGGTGAAGTGGTCAGACTCCTCCTCAAGTTGTGTGACCAAAACCCATCTGGAACTGGAGAATTTTCTTCTTAAGGTAACTACTTCTGTTCTCAATCAAAACTACATATTCGTCCTCTTACATGTAGTAGTATTTATCTGTCAAGATTGTTTTGGTGTGAGTTGCTGCCTTCTCTCCAGTATAATGGAACTAGATGTCACTCGACTTGTGGTGCTCAAAGTGCCGAAAGATATATTTGAAAAACTCCACAGGAATGTCTCTTTGCTCAAATCATGACCCCATTACTCAAGATAATCCACAGACCTTGTTGTCAGCAGTGGAGTTCGATAGACAGAAAATAGTTCCTACATGAAACTTCCCTCAACAAGGAGGAACTGGGTCATGATTTCTGGAAAGAGACATTTCTGTTGTGGTTTTCAGATATATGTTATTGGCGCTTTGAGCACCACAAGCTGAGTGACATCTAGTTCCATTATACTGGACAGAAGGCATCTCTGCAGCCGATATCTCCAACACTCAGTAACTCACACCAAAACAATCTAGATTGATAAACAGCACTATAGGTAAAAGGAAAAAATACACATTTTTGATTTTAAAGGGATAGCGCACCCAAAAGTGAAAATTCAGCCATTATCTACTCACCCATATGCCGAGGGAGGCTCAGGTGAGGTTTTAGAGTCCTCACATCCCTTGCGGAGATCCAAGGGGAGAGGAGGTAGCAGCACAACTCCACCTAATGGAGGCTGACGGCGCCCCAGATTAAAACGTCCAAAAACACATAATTGAAACCACAAAATATCTCCATACTGCTCGTCCGTAGTGATCCAAGTGTCCTGAAGCCCCGACATAAAAAGTTGTTTGGAAAAACGCCATTTGAACTCTGTTTTAGCCTCATTGTAGCCTGTAGCTCTAACTGCCTTAATGTAGACAGTGCTCACGTGTGCGCTTGCACGATACCGTGAGACGTGGGCACCGCCTTCATGTGTGTTCACATGCTTTCGCTGGTCTGGCGCGCACACGTGAGCTTGATGTACACAGAAGCAGTCAGAGCTACAGGCTACAGTGAGGCTAAAAACAGAGTTCAAATGACGTTTTTCCAAACAACTTTTTATGTAGGGGCTTCAGGACACTTGGATCACTACAGACGAGCAGTATGGAGATATTTTGTGATTTCAATTATGTGTTTTTGGACGTTTGAATCTGGGGCGCCGTCAGCCTCCATTAGGTGGAGTTGTGATGCTACCTCCTCTCCCCTTGGATCTCAGCAAGTGATGTGAGGACTCTAAAACTTCACCTGAGCCTCCCTCGGCATATGGGTGAGTAGATAATGGCTGAATTTTCATTTTTGGGTGCACTATCCCTTTAGCTTCCCTTTAAAGTTTCTTGCACACTCCCATCGGGCCACCCTCTGTGTCCTCTCGACAGTCATTCCCTGCTATAACAGACAGATGCAAAGAATCAGGGGCAATTTCTCACTTAAAATATGTCTTCATGTTTCTCTCTCTGTGTTATTTGGTCTTAATGAGGAACTTTTTTTTACAGCAGACACAAGCACATGAAAAAGACTTTTCCATAGAGTACATTTTGACACGTCACAGTAGGAAAATCACAACTGTAAATGATACAATGAGTTGTGGCTTAATTCCATGAAGCTGATTCAGTTGTATTGTCTTGGTAATGTTAATGCTGTCACACTGTCATGGCTTACTGGGACTCTTGAATAGAACAAAGCCATTGTAATTGCAATTAGTAACACCTGTGAATACGGTAAAAAAGGCCCATTTAGCTACTCTATTGCCTTATTAAGACCAAATGATCCAGAGAGACAGTTTGTCTGTTTTGTTGCTTCTCTCTGTTATAGAGTGGAATGATTGTTGAGAAGACACAGAGGGGGCAAGACATTAAAGAAGGTTTGGCAGTTGAGAACAAGGTCACAAAGATTTTACTGGTACAGATGGGTTTCTTAGCTTCATTCCTCCCTCAGTGGTGCAGTGATCAAAGTACAGTACAATTTCCTCGTGCAGTCTTTTCTTAATTCTGTCTGTCTGTTAATAATCTAGCCACACAAGGGTGAATATATTTGTCTTGATTCATCACCTTCAGCAGTTTTAGGTACAGTGTAGACAAGATTTTGCAAAATTCCAAGTGCTAACTCTGATAATGAAGTGATTGGTCCAAGCAGAAAAACCTGTTTCAAACAATAAGGTTAGACATGCCGACAGATTCTTTTGCTAAAGCGTCATTCAACAACACTGAAGCTGAATTACATTTGACACCAGATTTGACACATTTACATGAAAGTTGCTTCACTCCTAGCTTACCTCTGTTGTTGTTGAGACGGATAATGAGTTATTTATTTGTGCAAACAATGTATACTTCCTGTTGTTTACTCTCCCTCTTGTTTTCCCCGCAGCTTCCTAAGGATCAGTGCACTGAGTCCTTTGAGAAGAGCATCCTGAGGCTTCTGAACCAGGGGGACCGGAACGAGAGCAGGGAGGTGGAGAAGAACCTCAGGTACTCTACATTTAACCCAGATATACACCTAATGTGTTGGAGTTAGGGTTATTGCAAGACTGACACCACAGTTTCCACTATTGATTAGTTTTAATCTATATTGTGATATATCTGGCTTTACTATTTAAAGAGTGTTCTCAAAATTAAAAAAAAATTGAGGGTTATTTATATTAAATCGTGAATATGATTTATTTTGATAAACAAAAAAAGAACTGTATAATCATGCTTTTTAACCTGCTGATGAAGGCCCTGTCTATATGTATCCAGATACTTTTGTAAATGGATATTTTCCTCTGCATTTGCACCTCTTGTCCACACGCAAACTGAGTTTTAATTCACTAAAATATGGATTTTTTTAAAGCACCTTCTAAGGTGAAGATTTATCAAAACTCTGTTTACTGTTTTTCCATGTGGACTTGTAAAAGGTTTGGATAGCGATGATGTAATCTTCTCAAATCTCGCCTGCCTATTGATGCTTTGTGCAATGAGCAAACACTGGAAACCACATTAACAATGGCGGACTACTGGTTTGCCAATTGTTTTGTTTGCTATTTTGGTCTAATGACAACTTTACATTAACTCACCACTTAATGGAGGAACAGATCCGTCAGCTGCACCCAGTGTTTTTGCTCCACCTCAACATCTGGGGTTTAAAGTCCATTAGAAATTATGGTTTTGGATCAGAACCGGTTGAACCAGCAGATGGTGGGACACCTTCCAGAGTGGGATTGATGCTGATGAGGAGTGGAAGGAGCATAACTCGCATGTTTAAGTGAGCTTCTTCGTACTTAAATTAAACGGGAATCAGCGATGATGAGATCTCAAGCAGGTATTTTGAAAAAGGTAATATTAGCTTGTACTAGGGGTGTGTGACAAAAATAATATCTCGATATTTTGGGGGATTTTGATGATAACAATAATTAGACGATATTCTTTTAAATATGTGTTTTTAACAGCCGGAGTTATAGCTCATTAATTGTTTCTCAAGTTTCTCAACATTTCTTGCTGCTTTTTTACCTGCTCGCTCTGTTTGACTCTGGTGACACCCTTTTGTAGCGTCAATTCCGGGTCCATTTGCAACTGTTCACATAGGCGTTTGTCCCACAGACTCACCACAAGTCTGTCCCTCACCATCTCATCATGTAGAGCCCCGTAACCACAGTGCTCCGCCAGGCAGTGCAGCGCCGTAATGAAACTGTCGGCCATCTCACCCGTTTCTTGATGCCGCTGATTAAACTTTGCTCTCTCAAAGATCACATTGCTGCGATTCTCTTCTGCTTGCGTCTCCAATCCAGAAGCAGTGCGGAATCTATCGAAGCGTTTAATCCATTTAGGTCAGTCTTCAGCCTTCAAGGTGAACTTTTGTGGCAGGGAGACTTGAAACTGTGCCATGTTGCCGCTTCGTTCAGCTAACTGTGGCTAGGCTAGGTAGCTCCATAGATGGTCTTCTGGTACTGCAAATGTTCCCGACTGACACTTTACTAGTCGCTTTACTTCTGACACCATGTTCAGTTACTCATTGGTATAAACGCAAACCACTCATGAACCACGCAGGCTTCAGGTACTTGAGCAACCCTTTAATTGTTCCCCTGCAACACAATACAGCATTACCTTAGTTCCCACCTGACAGGCTGGGACCTATCACTACAGTTGACCCACCGTGGGCGGTGTTGCCATGGTGTCTCGCTAATGTTTGTCTAGCAGCAGGCTAACCTGCCAGGAAGGTGCCAATGAGAGATCATGTGACCACCTAGGCGTACTGCGGCGTGCTGCTGCACGCAAGTTATGTAACTCTTGTTCAGTGAATGTGTGGGGTTTCAATGTGTGTTTTCAGTTGTTTTTGTGAAGTCATTTGCATACTCGATAATGTAAATTTGCACATCGTTAAAACAACAATGATGATATTATCGTTAACGATATATATCGCCCACCCCTAGCTTGTACACAGATAGACAGCTAACGCCCGGGCCACAGGTACGGAACATCTAGAGAAAAGGTGTCTCACGGCTCGCCTATTTTTTTCTACATGATGTGTGTTTTCATGTATTATTTTTGACTCAACGCTTCCTGTTTCCATTTCAAAATAAAGGTCCCCTGACAGCGTTTCTGTTGACAGAATCCCTTCATTTGTTAACACGAGGCAAGACCGTGTGTCATCGGTGGCTGCACGGCTTCATAAATATGTGGACTATCAGCTTTCAGTTGTAGATGTCAGTAGTCAGAGCAGCAGGCAGCTCTGAAGCAGCGCCACAGCAATGCCACTATCTGTGTGAACACTGCACACATGAGCGTTTGGAGTCGGTTTAGTGTGTTTGGGTAGACAGAGATATTTTGTAAAACAAGGTCGTGTGGACAAAAAAAATTACACGTAGGGGAAAAATGTCTGGATACATAGACAGAGCTTAAGATAAACAAGTTTTCCATAATGCATTCATCCATTGATTTCCTTAATTGAGGTTCAGTGGCCAGTCATCCTGCTCTGTTTAATACATTCATGGATAGATAGAGTTAAAATAAATTAATTTCCACCAGTGAAACATAAAGGGCTTGTCTGGACTCTGTGATGTTGCCTGGTGTTCTCTGGCACTCACCATGTAGGAGCACATGAAAACACTGACTGAGCATGAACCACAGTCCTGACTGCCGTCATTTCATTCTGTTATTCTGAGTTCTCTGAGAACAAGAGGTCAACGTCTGCGTCCTTTTACCCCTTTGTTTTTCAGGGTCATTTCCTGTCTGTAATAAATAAATAACAACTACAGTTACTGTGTGTTTGATGTGAAAGAGCAGTTGGTTGTCACAAAACTGTTGTGACTGAAGATCTGCAGCCTGTTAGTATTGTTCAACCTGATAGACTGCATTGGTGGCAAGTTTATGAGTAGCAGCATGCCAAGAAAGCACCAGATCAGAACCAGAAATGATTGTTAATCTAGAGGACGAGTTTTCAATGTCTGACAGTGTGGACTGAGTCCTGACTCTGTGAAGGATTGGGACTCTTTGACACAAATTGGGGCTATCAGGCTCCGAGGATTTTAACGTACCACTGCTGCTGAAATGTGTCAGTGAGCAGGCCAAAACAGCTGGCCAAACTATAATTACTCACTTCCTGTTGTGTTCAAAACAACAGCATGCCCCTTTCTCCACATGTAGTGTCTTTTGCCTAATGTTTCTTCCTCCGCGTCCCCCCTGGGGAGACCTCTGCACTGTAAAGTGCAGCTTCACTAACATTACATGATTATCTCCCTCAGATATGTTTACAGATTTGTCGATAACACGCTATGTCAGACATGCTAGAAAAGGGACCTTATTGTTATTGTTCAAGACTGACAATCTCTCACGCACACACTCACACACTCTGACACAGCATGATGTCCATAAGTTTCATTTCGTGTGAAGTGAGACTGAGGAAAGTGAAACTCATCTGCCTGAACTCCAGCTTTTCATCAGTAGCCCAGCCCATGCTCTTACTGCATGCTTGTGCTCCTCTCTCCTTTCATGGGACTCCAGCTTTTTGCTTTATTATTTTAACCACAGTATGTTGTTGTTGAAAGAGACTTTTACAGATGGTTGCAAGCTTGTTTTTATTGCACTTTAAAGACAGATATGTTGATATGAAAAAACATGTATGCGTCCATTGATCAGTGGACGTTTTTTAACTACGAAACTGTGGCTTATTATGAAGTCATTTTCACATGATTCCTTCTTCCTTATAGACACAAAAACAAATACATGTAAAAGAAGTACTCTCATTTGTATTAGATATGCAAACTCCAGTCAAACCTTGCATTGAGGACTTGTATGGAAGTAACATGGAACACAAACGGGACATAAATATGTTGAGAAAATGAAAGAAAAAAGTGTCTAGACGATATTGTTACTGAGTGTTACTTGAATGTGAATATGTTTTAAGTTTTGCTCAGCTGCCTGTCCTTAATGCATTGTAGTTATTTTGCTGTGTTATGTAATAATTCTCAGCCAGACTTTCCTCTGCCTGCCTTTAGGGAAAGGTTCCTGTCTGCTCCTCCTGTCTTCAGACAGACCAGGAAGGTCTGCAGCTTCTTCAATTGTGACTCCAGTTACTCTACAAAACCTACATGCTGCAGATGTGAGTATCAGACTACAGGGGGATTTATACTTGTGCGGCAGACCTTACGCACGCGGCCTACGCCTTTGTGAGCATTTGTGCTTGTGCAGTGGTGTGTCAGTGTCACTCTGCGGTTACACCTCCTGAACACTAGTGGGCGGTGTAGGTTTTTGTGAACATATAAACATGGCTTAAAGGATAACTTCGGTATTTTTCAACCTGGGCCCTATTTCCCCATGTGTATGTGTGCGTATGATTTATAGGTACAACTCGTTCTAAAATTGGTGCAAGCATGGTGGGAGCTGCGAAATGAGCTAAAACGGTAACGGGGGCAAATGCGTCCCGTATAAGTTTGCGCTTTAAAAGTGCTTTTTTTCGCCACTGACTGGTTCAGATCGCCAGTGCTATCTCTGTAAATAGCATACTAAGTGTTTCCCTTACTTCTGGGCTGTGTGTGACGTCATCTCACGAGAGCTTTGCTCCACTGTGTCTGTAGCTCTCTCTACTCGTGGGACAGCCGTTTTCTTTAGGAAGAGGTGTTTCGGGATTGGATGTCTTCTTCGGCTGGCAGTAGTCATCTTGGGAGAAGTGAGCACTGCAGACGCAGACACAACTTCAGCATCTCGCCGTCCGACAAAGGCAGCCTATGAAAGCTGTACGGGGTGTTGCGCGACATCCTGTTCTTGCAATTTGGATAAGCACAAACACGAACCATTGTTTTCAATTGATGCAGTAAAACTCTCAACTGTACTCCGGGACAATCAGCGCCACTTGGAGCGGCGCTCAGCATGGCTCCTCTGTTTTCTTCCGGCAACAAGCAAAGCTCTCGTGAGATGATGTCACAGCCCAGAGCAAGTGAAGGGTCAGGGAACGCTTAGTATGCTATTTACAGAGATAGCACTGGTGATCTGAACCGGTCAGTGGCGAAAAAAAGCACTTTTAATGCGCAAACTTATACGGGACGCATTTGCCCCCGTTACCGTTTTAGCTCGTTTCGCAGCTCCCAGCTGCATCCGCCTCCCTCAATACTGAACCAATTTTAGAACGAGTTGTACCCATGAATCATACGCACACATACACATGGGGAAATAGGGCCCAGGTTGAAAAATACCAAAGTTATCCTTTAATAGAGACAGTTTCAAACGCAAGTACACAAATCAGCTTCACTATAACTCGCAGCATTCACACACAAACACTTGTCTTTATCTGGACACATTTTCCCCACAAATACAACATGCTAACGTTATTAGCACAAGCCTATGGCATTTTACATTCTATAAATTAGCCTAGTGGCTAGCAGACTTTTTCCCCTACTCATATGAAGCCAGGGACAACAGCAATGTTTAACAAAGGTAACGTTACAAAATTCAGCTCCATTACAGCTCACAGTGTTCACTGACAAAACAACTGTCTTATACTAAACACATTTTCCAAACAAATATAACATGCTAACACTATTAACACACACAACCCTACGCTGTATGTGCCCAGCAGGCATAGCCAGTAAAAAATACATCCGCTCTGCAAACATTCCACATTCGTTATGTCTTCAGTGTAGCCAAAGCACGAGTGAATGTCCATGAAGTTGCAATCACAAAGAATGTTTATTTCCTTTAAAACATGCGCTCCTTTTTTATGTTTGTTCAGTAGTTCTCTTCTCTTGACTCGGTGCCTTTAAAGTCTACAGAAGCAAATTAAAGCTGACTCACCGATCTGACCTCCTCACAAGAATACTATGCTCTCCTGCTTCAGAGTGTGCTCACTGTTCTCTTCCTCTAAAGCAAATCACTGCATTTCTTTGAGATTCACTTTAATTTTCAGTTTAGTATACTGTTCATTTAACATATTAAACAAAGGCACTGTTGTTAGTGGCGGCACGCTGGTGCAGTGGTTAGCTTTGTCATTAGCATTCCTGGTTCGTATCCAAGGTCGGGGTTAGCATGTTCTCCCTGTGTCAGCGTGGGTTTCCTCCAGGTGCTCCAGCTTCCTCCCACAGTCCAAAGACATGCAGGTTAATTGGTGACTCTAAATTGTCCGTAGGTGTGAATGTGAGTGTGAATGGTTGTCTGTCCTCATACTGTTTTAAAACAACAACACCTATACTGTGTTTATTTAATCATCAAATAAACATTTACGTAGTTATCTTGACTTCCAGCATGCAGGATAGATTATTTATCAGATTTAAGACAAAGGAAGAACATGTTGTATCATTGTACACTCTCCATCCACACACACACACAAACTGGATGTCACGACTCAAAGCGCATCTGTAGGTGTCCTAAAAGAATGAAGCAGTAAACCAACAACGGTGGCTGCTGGGAAAACCTGCGCTGTCATAAATCTACAGCAACACAAGTCCCCAAGCCGTGTCCAAAATGTGATCACTGCTGTCAGAAACAAAGTTATCCTTCTCTTCATAGGCAACTGCCAGCTGGGTAAGGCCTACCAAGGAGACTGCTCTGATGCCTCCAGTCAGGAGGAAGGTGAGAACAACTTAATTATTTTATCCAATTATTCCACTCATTTCCCACAGTGATGTTTTTCTCTGACGGTTGTGATCCACCGTGGAGAGTGGAAGTGGCAGGGAGAGAGCAGCAAAGGCAGCAGACAAAAGAAATGCACAAGAGCGTGTATAATCAGTGAATGAGGCCCGATTGTGCGTAAGGACAAAGCAAAGGAACAGCCCACTCACCAGGGCTGCAGTCGTAGCTGCAGCTACATAGTAAACATGAAAAGCTAACTGGCGTTTATTTTTGGAGGTTGTTTGGAAAGGCTGAGTCTGTTTCAAATCCTCATATTTCACAGCTATATTTGCCCGATCACGTGCTTGACCGAGTTCAGCTGGAGCAGCAGTAACCACAGCCCTGGCCTGCCTCATACTAGCATCAGGGTTATTAATGCTAGAAGATGTTGTGTGTGTTAGATTAATGTTAATCTGTATTAAACAAGCACGTCTGTTTAACCTTGAAGAAGTTGTGCAGAGAAGAATCACACTTATTTCTTTTATCTGCACGTAACAGGACGAAGCAGAGTCAAAGAAGGAAGGCTAAAAATGAAAACCATCAGTAGCTTTTGATGTATGGACGTTATTGTCATTAATAGTTTCTTAATGGTCCCAAAGAAAGTCATAGTGCAGAGTCAGAGGGAACAGAGAGAAGTCAGAGGCCTGAAACAATAATGAACTGAAAGACTGAAAGCAGGGGGAAACTTTAAGCATCACCTCATTCAAAGTGATTAATAGGCCTCACATTAACACCAAATTTTTACTATATATGTGACACTCTTTCCAAGTGTCTGGCTGTAAGTTGTAGATGCCACTTTTAGTGAACATGTGCTCTGGCAGTAGCTCTAACAATAAATTGATACCATACTGATCAGATTGTTGTCAGTGATTCCCAACCTCTTCTATCACTGAGTAAAGTGAAGACACCTCAGTGATGTATTTTATGGATAATTCATATTATATTTAACACATAAACACATTGAGTCTTATTCATGAAACGTGAGCAAAACAAATTTGTGTGTGAACTGTTTGCAGAAGGAAATGTATGTGCATTTTCGGCATTCATCATCATGTTAGTTGCTTCGATCTTTTCATAGGTACCAGGGCGTAAAATTAACTTTTCACCTCATCTGCCATTAGCCAGTGACTAGTGATGGCCAAATGAAGCCTCAGGAAGCATTTTCTTTATTTTCTGAGCCCAATAGATGGCACTCATGGTTTAAAGAGAGAGGCCAAAAGAATGGCAATTCAGTGTGCTTTCAACCTTTCGTTGAACAAAAAGCACCATCTAGTGGGCTCATAAAATAAAGAAAATGCTTCCTGAGGCTTCATTTGGCCATCCCCACTGGTGACCTCCAAAAGTTATCGGCCAAACATATTTTTCACCAGCCAAATAAAAAAATCATGCCTTGTTTGACTAAAAATAGTTACCTTACGTTTGTAGTAGGAAAATCCAACTTTAGGAAAATCCACCCTTGTTCTCTGTGTTTCTTTGGCATGCTTGCGACAAAGGCTGCAGCTCATTGTGTTGGTGTGGGGGTCGTAGGTCAGCCCTGACCACGGCTGGCCAGCCTCGCCTAGTTTCCATTTTTTAATAAAACGCCGTGCGACATTTGTACTCCGTTTAACTGTCTGTTCTTCCTGTACAAGTCCAACATGTTCATCTTCGTCTTTCCTCTTTTCTGGCTGTGGCTTCACGCTTAGAATGTGTCGCCACATCTTGCTCAGAAGTTACCATAGAATACCCGGGAAACAAGTTCCGGTAGCTGACGTCATGCGTTCCCGGCACACGTACAATAAGCAGCGAGGGACAAAATAGTCTGACAAAGCTGGCAGAAATGGTCGAAGCACGTAAAAAACCCACATGCAATTCAAAATTTTCCATCAGCCACTGGCGGGTGTGTTTTTGTTTTACACACCAAACTCATTTTTTAGTTTTTACCCACCATTGGCGCTTGGTGGGTGTTAATTTTACGGCCTGGTAGGTACTAACAGAATCTGCACCTGCTTCTGACTGCTTGTAGTGCTTGTGTAAATAACATATTGTACATGAAATTGCTTGTTATGTTTAGAAATTACAATTTTAATTCATATTGTGCTCGGTTATGTTCACAATACG